GGACTGTGACCACAGGCGATTGGATTATTTCCTGACGCAGGTGCTCACAGGACACAGGTGTTTTAGGGCCTACCTTAGGAGAGAGAGACAGGTGTGAATTTTGTTACAGTGAGAGAAATGATTGAGAGAATGATTGAAAATAAATTAGGTTGGATTAACATACACAGTTATATCCGTGCAGTGATAAAAAAAAAAGGAAGAGGAAGAAAGACAGCTAGACCAACGGCAAAGGTAGAGTGAATGATGCTAAAAGGTGAAGTTAGAACAGTGGGTCACACTTTTTGAGTTAGAATGCGTGAGTTTGACTGTGGGGAAGGAGGAAATGCCCTTCTGAGAATGATGCCGAACTAGGACAATTTAAGGTTGCTGCCTATAAAAGTACCAAGAAATTTTACAGAATCAACGATACTGATCTGGGTGTTATCAAGAAGTAAGAGATAAAGAGCTCCGTTTATAGGATAACGCTACTATCTTATCTACGTTAAAAGGGAGCAAATTAGAGTCGGACCAGGTTTTTATGTTTAATAGATCAGAAGTTATAAGTACATTAAGAATTGCAGAAGTAATACTGGTATCATCAGCAAAAAGAAAAATTTTTCCATCGACTTCTTCTTCCATCTTCCTTCTTGTATCTTGCGACGGTTACGTAGGAGTGACAATTTTTGTCAGAAATATGTTTCAGGTAAAAGAAATTACAACTACTAAACAAAAATATTTAACAACAATGATATAGTTTTATCTGTTTCTCATTCTACATTCTACTAACCACCAGATGCATATATACAAACCACTGATTTTGACACAATATTCAACTGTACAAAGTCAACAGGTATTATTCGAAGCAATTTCAATCCTCATAACCAAACACGGGGTTCGCACATCAAAAGTAACAGCAAGGGTACACAACTACTCGTTCAGATAATACAGAGTTAATAATCGTAAAATAGTTTCGAAACACAATTCAGATTTCTGCTTTTATCTGTGCTTTCTAAAAATTGCAAAGCAAAACAGACGTTGATAAAGGTGTCAATTCAGAAATCTGAATTGTGTTTCGAAACTATTTTACGATTGTTAAATTAGATGTCGCTAGTGCGTCCGTATTCGAAGCCATGTTATTGTTGCTTCTTAAAAGACAGAAAATATTGATCTTTCATGTTGAGAACACCTTTGAATAACTGTTCTGATGAGACCTATTAGGTCGAAATACGTATCAACAGATACAAAGGCGCTGTTTGCGTGAAATCAAATATTTGCTGTCTTTTTCACTTTTTTCGGATTTACTCTGTACGAGTACAAGAAACCAATTCGCTAAGGATTTCTGCTTAGTTGAAAAGATGTGTCGTGGAATGCAAATTTTAGATTCCCCACGTCTCTTTTAACACCTTTATCAACGTCTGTTTTGCTTTGCAATTTTTAGAAAGCACAGATAAAAGCAGAAATCTGAATTGTGTTTCGAAACTATTTTACGATTGTTAAATTAGATGTCGCTAGTGCGTCCGTATTCGAAGCCATGTTATTGTTGCTTCTTAAAAGACAGAAAATATTGATCTTTCATGTTGAGAACACCTTTGAATAACTGTTCTGATGAGACCTATTAGGTCGAAATACGTATCAACAGATACAAAGGCGCTGTTTGCGTGAAATCAAATATTTGCTGTCTTTTTCACAGAGTTAATACTTTTAAATACCGAATAAGCCACAAGATTAAGAAATAATAGAAAAAATTCAAATGGAGATTTAACGTTTGCAACTTCAGTTATAACCTTTCAGTGCACATGGAAAATCTTACCTGATGCATTAAGCTCAGACCATTTTCCAATCATAATATAAATTTACAAAGAACTGAAGTGTAAAAATCTCATAATACAACCAAAAAACAAAGTAAAATTTGATTAATTTTAATAACAATAATAATGGATTTGGCACCATCGATGCATCGATACTATTTTCTTTTTGGTCACGTCTGTTTGCTTTATTTTGTGGCTTATAAAAAATACTTTTTCTATTTCTGATCAAAGATTAGGCTCTTTAGATGTTATAGATATAGTTTTATTAAACTGTATTTAGAATAACCACTTTATCTATAAAATATAAGTGATGGTGCAATAAAAAGGGACAAAGTAAAAATAACAATAAAATATATACAAAAATATATAAAATTATGTGAATAATATGCAAAAACAAATAGCAAGTGGCTATACTAATACCCTTTTGTAGCTTTAATACTTACTTCATCCATGTTTTCAAGATTTACTTTGATTCTTCTCTCAATATATCTAAATTTGCATTACAGCTTCACCTGGTCTTCTATGTGCTTCATTTGTAGGCTCTAAGTAAATGTTGCTATATAGGTTTAAAAGTTGTACTTCCTGGACGTTAGATTCCATTCAAGCTTTAGTTAGACCCTTTAGAGTAGCTCCCGTGCCTAAAAACATTAGATATAGTAATTTATAAAAAATATTAGTAATGTAATCAAATTATTAAATGAATTTATCACTTAGCCAGTAAAAAGCACTAAAAAGAGTCGATAGCCTGAAGAGATATTTCTTTGAGATTTTATTACATATTCCATCAATTCTCTTTGACAACTTTTGTTTTGGTTCTTTTAACAACATCTAGGGATCTCTATTTCCTGTTTGGTCACTTTTGTTTGCTTTCTTTTGTGGTTTATAAAGAAACTTTTTCCATTTCTATTCAGAGATTAGGGTCTTTAGATGTTATATTTGTTATAGTTTTAATAAACTTTATTTATAATAACCACTTTGTCTATAAAATATAAATTATGGTAGAATAAAACGAAACAATGTGACATCAACATTAAAATATAGACAAAACAATAAACTTATGTGAATAATAGGCAAAAACCAATAGCAAGTGTGTATACTAATGTCTTTTTGTAACTTTAATTGTTACTTTACCCATTTGTTCAAGAATATTTGCTTTGTTTCTTCTCTCAATATATCTGTACTTGAATTACAGCTTTACCTGATTTTCTATGTGCTTTTCTGTAAGCTCTAAGTGAATTTTGCTATATATGATTAAAAGTTAGACTTCTGGGATGTTAGATTTCCTTAAAGTTTTAGTTAGATCTTTTAGAATAGCTTCCTTGCCTGAGATACATTAATTATGGTCATGTATAAAAAATGTTAGTAATGTAATCAAATTATTAAATGAATTTAAAAACTGGGCCAATAAAAAGCACTAAAAAGCAGTTAGTAGCCTAAAGAGATATTTATTTGAAATTTTATTACATATTTCATCAATTCTCTTTGACAAATTTTGCTTTGGTTCTTTTAATAAAATCTAGTTATCCCTATTTCCTTTTTGGTCACTTGTTTGCTTTCTTTTGAGGTTTATAAAGAAACTTTTTCTAATTTTAATTAAAGATCTCATATTTGTTATAGTTTTAATAAACTTTATTAAGAATAACCACTTTGTCTATAAAATATAAGTTATGGTGGAATACAAAGAAACAAAGTCACAATAACACTCAAATATAGACAAAAAAGTAAAAAATTATGTAAATAATAGGCAAAAAAAATAACTAGTGGTTATATTATTGTCCTTTTGTAGCTTTAATACTTACTTCACCCATTTTTTTAAGAATAGTTGATTTGATTATTTTCTCAATATATCTGTATTTGCATCACAGCTTCACTTGGTCTTCTATGTGCTTTATTTGTAGGCTTTAAGTAAATGTTGCTATATAGGTTTAAAAGTTGTACTTCCTGGATGTTAGATTCCATTCAAGCTTTAGTTAGACCCTTTAAAGTAGCTCCCTTGCCTAAAAACATTAGATATAGTAATTTATAAAAAATATTAGTAATGTAATCAAATTATAAAATGAATTTATCACTGAGCCAATAAAAATCACTAAAAAGAAGTCAATAACCTGAAGAGATATTTCTTTGAGATTTTATTACATATTCCATCAATTCTCTTTGACAACTTTTGTTTTGGTTCTTTTAATAATATCTAGGGATCTCTATTTCCTTTTTGGTCACTTTTGTTTGCTTTCTTTTGTGGTTTATAAAGAAACTTTTTCTATTTCTAATCAAAGATTAGGGTCTTTAGATGTTATATTTGTTATAGTTTTAATACACTTTATTTATAATAACCACTTTGTCTATAAACTATAAGTCATGGTAGAATAAAAAGAAACAATGTGACATCAACATTAAAATAGAGACAAAACAATAAAAAATTATGTGAATAATTAGGCAAAAACAAATAGAAAGTGTCTATACTAATGTCTTTTTGTAACTTTAATACTTACTTTATCCATTTTTTCAAGAATATTTGCTTTGGTACTTCTCTCAATATATCTGTACTTGAATTACAGCTTTACCTGATTTTCTATGTGCTTTTCTGTAAGCTCTAAGTGAATTTTGCTATATATGATTAAAAGTTAGACTTCTGGGATGTTAGATTTCCTTAAAGTTTTAGTTAGATCCTTTAGAATAGCTTCCTTGCCTGAGATACATTAATTATGGTCATGTATAAAAAATGTTAGTAATGTAATCAAATTATTAAATCAATTTAAAAACTGGGCCAATAAAAAGCACTAAAAAGCAGTTAGTAGCCTAAAGAGATATTTATTTGGCATTTTATTACATATTTCATCAATTCTCTTTGACAAATTTTGCTTTGGTTCTTTTAATAAAATCTAGGGATCCCTATTTCCTTTTTGGTCACTTGTTTGCTTTCTTTTGAGGTTTATAAAAAAACTTTTTCTAATTTTATTTAAAGATTAGGCTCTTTAGATCTCATATCTGTTATAGTTTTAATAAACTTTATTTAGAATAACCACTTTGTCTATAAAATATAAGTTACAGTGGAATAGAAAGAAACAAAGTCACAATAACACTCAAATATAGACAAAAAAGTAAAAAATTATGTAAATAGGCAAAAAAAATAACTAGTGTTTATATTATTGTCCTTTTGTAGCTTTAATACTTACTTCACCCATTTTTTGAAGAATAGTTGATTTGAATATTTTCTCAATATATCTGTATTTGCATCACAGCTTCACTTGGTCTTCTATGTGCTTTATTTGTAGGCTTTAAGTAAATGTTGCTATATAGGTTTAAAAGTTGTACTTCCTGGATGTTAGATTCCATTCGAGCTTTAGTTAGACCCTTTAGAGTAGCTCCCTTGCCTAAAAACATTAGATATAGTAATTTATAAAAAATATTAGTAATGTAATCAAATTATTAAATGAATTTATCACTGAGCCAATAAAAAGCACTAAAAAGGAGTCGATAGCCTGAAGAGATATTTCTTTGAGATTTTATTACATATTCCATCAATTCACTTTGACAACTTTTGTTTTGGTTCTTTTAATAACATCTAGGGATCTCTATTTCCTTTTTGGTCACTTTTGTTTGCTTTCTTTTGTGGTTTATAAAAAAACTTTTTCTGTTTTTATTCAAAGATTAGGCACTTTAGATGTTATATTTGTTATAGTTTTAATAAACTTTATTTATAATAACCACTTTGTCTATAAAATATAAGTTATGGTAGAATAAAAAGAAACAATGTGACATCAACATTAAAATAGAGACAAAACAATAAAAACTTATGTAAATAATAGGCAAAAACAAATAGCAAGTGTGTATACTAATGTCTTTTTGTAACTTTAATTGTTACTTTACTCATTTATTCAAGAATATTTGCTTTGGTTCTTCTCTCAATATATCTGTACTTGAATTACAGCTTTACCTGATTTTCTATGTGCTTCTCTGTAAGCTCTAAGTGAATTTTGCTATATATGATTAAAAGTTAGACTTCTGGGATGTTAGATTTCCTTAAAGTTTTAGTTAGATCCTTTAGGATAGCTTCCTTGTCTGAGATACAATAATTATGGTCATGTATAAAAAATTGTAGTAATGTAATCAAATTATTAAATGGATTTAAAAACTGGGCCAATAAAAAGCACTAAAAAGCAGTTAGTAGCCTAAAGAGATATTTATTTAACATTTTATTACATATTTCATCAATTCTCTTTGACAAATTTTGCTTTGGTTCTTTTAATAAAATCTAGGGATCCCTATTTCCTTTTTGGTCACTTGTTTGCTTTCTTTTGAGGTTTATAAAGAAACTTTTTCTAATTTTATTTAAAGATTAAGCTCTTTAGATCTCATATTTGTTATAGTTTTAATAAACTTTATTAAGAATAACCACTTTGTCTATAAAATATAAGTTATGGTGGAATACAAAGAAACAAAGTCACAATAACACTCAAATATAGACAAAAAAGTAAAAAATTATGTAAATAATAGGCAAAAAAAATAACTAGTGGTTATATTATTGTCCTTTTGTAGCTTTAATACTTACTTCACCCATTTTTTTAAGAATAGTTGATTTGATTATTTTCTCAATATATCTGTATTTGCATCACAGCTTCACTTGGTCTTCTATGTGCTTTATTTGTAGGCTTTAAGTAAATGTTGCTATATAGGTTTAAAAGTTGTACTTCCTGGATGTTAGATTCCATTCAAGCTTTAGTTAGACCCTTTAAAGTAGCTCCCTTGCCTAAAAACATTAGATATAGTAATTTATAAAAAATATTAGTAATGTAATCAAATTATTAAATGAATTTATCACTGAGCCAATAAAAATCACTAAAAAGAAGTCAATAACCTGAAGAGATATTTCTTTGAGATTTTATTACATATTCCATCAATTCTCTTTGACAACTTTTGTTTTGGTTCTTTTAATAACATCTAGGGATCTCTATTTCCTTTTTGGTCACTTTTGTTTGCTTTCTTTTGTGGTTTATAAAGAAACTTTTTCTATTTCTAATCAAAGATTAGGGTCTTTAGATGTTATATTTGTTATAGTTTTAATAAACTTTATTTATAATAACCACTTTGTCTATAAAATATAAGTTATGGTAGAATAAAAAGAAACAATGTGACATCAACATTAAAATAGAGACAAAACAATAAAAAATTATGTGAATAATTAGGCAAAAACAAATAGAAAGTGTCTATACTAATGTCTTTTTGTAACTTTAATACTTACTTTATCCATTTTTTCAAGAATATTTGCTTTGGTTCTTCTCTCAATATATCTGTACTTGAATTACAGCTTTACCTGATTTTCTATGTGCTTTTCTGTAAGCTCTAAGTGAATTTTGCTATATATGATTAAAAGTTAGACTTCTGGGATGTTAGATTTCCTTAAAGTTTTAGTTAGATCCTTTAGAATAGCTTCCTTGCCTGAGATACATTAATTATGGTCATGTATAAAAAATGTTAGTAATGTAATCAAATTATTAAATGAATTTAAAAACTGGGCCAATAAAAAGCACTAAAAAGCAGTTAGTAGCCTAAAGAGATATTTATTTGACATTTTATTACATATTTCATCAATTCTCTTTGACAAATTTTGCTTTGGTTCTTTTAATAAAATCTAGGGATCCCTATTTCCTTTTTGGTCACTTGTTTGCTTTCTTTTGAGGTTTATAAAGAAACTTTTTCTAATTTTATTTAAAGATTAGGCTCTTTAGATCTCATATTTGTTATAGTTTTAATAAACTTTATTTAGAATAACCACTTTGTCTATAAAATATAAGTTATGGTGGAATAGAAAGAAACAAAGTCACAATAACACTCAAATATAGACAAAAAAGTAAAAAATTATGTAAATAATAGGCAAAAAAAATAACTAGTGTTTATATTATTGTCCTTTTGTAGCTTTAATACTTACTTCACCCATTTTTTCAAGAATAGTTGATTTGATTCTTTTCTCAATATATCTGTATTTGCATCACAGCTTCACTTGGTCTTCTATGTGCTTTATTTGTAGGCTTTAAGTAAATGTTGCTATATAGGTTTAAAAGTTGTACTTCCTGGATGTTAGATTCCATTCAAGCTTTAGTTAGACCCTTTAGAGTAGCTCCCTTGCCTAAAAACATTAGATATAGTAATTTATAAAAAATATTAGTAATGTAATCAAATTATTAAATGAATTTATCACTGAGCCAATAAAAAGCACTAAAAAGGAGTCGATAGCCTGAAGAGATATTTCTTTGAGATTTTATTACATATTTCATCAATTCTCTTTGACAACTTTTGTTTTGGTTCTTTTAATAACATCTAGGGATCTCTATTTCCTTTTTGGTCACTTTTGTTTGCTTTCTTTTGTGGTTTATAAAAAAACTTTTTCTATTTTTATTCAAAGATTAGGCTCTTTAGATGTTATATTTGTTATAGTTTTAATAAACTTTATTTATAATAACCACTTTGTCTATAAAATATAAGTTATGGTAGAATAAAAAGAAACAATGTGACATCAACATTAAAATAGAGACAAAACAATAAAAACTTATGTGAATAATAGGCAAAAACAAATAGCAAGTGTGTATACTAATGTCTTTTTGTAACTTTAATTGTTACTTTACCCATTTATTCAAGAATATTTGCTTTGGTTCTTCTCTCAATATATCTGTACTTGAATTACAGCTTTACCTGATTTTCTATGTGCTTTTCTGTAAGCTCTAAGTGAATTTTGCTATATATGATTAAAAGTTAGACTTCTGGATGTTAGATTTCCTTAAAGTTTTAGTTAGATCCTTTAGAATAGCTTCCTTGCCTGAGATACATTAATTATGGTCATGTATAAAAAATGTTAGTAATGTAATCAAATTAATAAATGAATTTAAAAACTGGGCCAATAAAAAGCACTAAAAAGCAGTTAGTAGCCTAAAGAGATATTTATTTGACATTTTATTACATATTTCATCAATTCTCTTTGACAAATTTTGCTTTGGTTCTTTTAATAAAATCTAGGGATCCCTATTTCCTTTTTGGTCACTTGTTTGCTTTCTTTTGAGGTTTATAAAGAAACTTTTTCTAATTTTATTTAAAGATTAGGCTCTTTAGATCTCATATTTGTTATAGTTTTAATAAACTTTATTAAGAATAACCACTTTGTCTATAAAATATAAGTTATGGTGGAATACAAAGAAACAAAGTCACAATAACACTCAAATATAGACAAAAAAGTAAAAAATTATGTAAATAATAGGCAAAAAAATAACTAGTGGTTATATTATTGTCCTTTTGTAGCTTTAATACTTACTTCACCCATTTTTTGAAGAATAGTTGATTTGATTATTTTCTCAATATAATCTGTATTTGCATCACAGCTTCACTTGGTCTTCTATGTGCTTTATTTGTAGGCTTTAAGTAAATGTTGCTATATAGGTTTAAAAGTTGTACTTCCTGGATGTTAGATTCCATTCAAGCTTTAGTTAGACCCTATAAAGTAGCTCCCTTGCCTAAAAACATTAGATATAGTAATTTATAAAAAATATTAGTAATGTAATCAAATTATTAAATTTATCACTGAGCCAATAAAAAGCACTAAAAAGGAGTCGATAGCCTGAAGAGATATTTCTTTGAGATTTTATTACATATTCCATCAATTCTCTTTGACAACTTTTGTTTTGGTTCTTTTAATAAAATCTAGGGATCTCTATTTCCTTTTTGGTCACTTTTGTTTGCTTTCTTTTGTGGTTTATAAAGAAACTTTTTCTATTTATATTCAAAGATTAGGCTCTTTAGATGTTATATTTGTTATAGTTTTAATAAACTTTATTTAGAATAACCACTTTGTCTATAAAATATAAGTTATGGTAGAATAAAAAGAAACAATGTGACATCAACATTAAAATAGTAGACAAAACAATAAAAATTATGTGAATAATAGGCAAAAACAAATAGAAAGTGTCTATACTAATGTCTTTTTGTAACTTTAATACTTACTTTATCCATTTTTTCAAGAATATTTGCTGTGGTTCTTCTCTCAATATATCTGTACTTGAACTACAGCTTCACCTGGTTTTCTATGTGCTTTTCTGTACACTCTAAGTGAATTTTGCTATATATGATTAAAAGTTAGACTTCTGGGATGTTAGATTTCCTGAAAGTTTTAGTTAGATCCTTTAGAATAGCTTCCTTGCCTGAGATACATTAATTATGGTCATGTATAAAAAATGTTAGTAATGTAATCAAATTATTAAATGAATTTAAAAACTGGGCCAATAAAAAGCACTAAAAAGCAGTTAGTAGCCTAAAGAGATATTTATTTGACATTTTATTACATATTTCATCAATTCTCTTTGACAAATTTTGCTTTGGTTCTTTTAAT